GAAGTTCAGGATGGACGCATCGGTACCGAAATGCGAGCTCAAGGATTCAACTTCGCTCATCGAGGTGCAAAGCAACACCCAGGTCACCAACAGCAACAAGCACAAGCACCTGCGACCGGCTCTGGAACACCTGGATCAAGCCAAAATCTTGTATCCTCTGCACCACCTACTGGGCCAGCTCAGCGTTCACCCGCCGCACAACCTCCAGCGCAACCTTTTGGTCAACGAGGACAAGCTCAACAACAAACCAGAGCTCCACCAGCTGGTCCTGAACGTACCGCAGAGTCACCAGCTCCATTCCAAGCCAAGCCTGCCACACCACAACCAGCTCAAAACAATGTTGTTAACCTACCATCTGCCAAAGAGGAAGAGAAGACTCCCGCGACCACAAATGGTACAGACAGCTCATCCCCAGCAGCTAAGCCTTCTGCCGAACAAATCATTGGTCTCTTCGTTATGAATGTAAACTCAGAAGATCATGTCCGCGACTTGTTCCACGACGATGACAAGGCAAAGATTATTCGAGTCGATAAATGGGGTGCATCCAACAAGGTTGCCGTCTTCAAGACCACTCAGGAGAGAGACGATGCTCTAGGTCGTCTACCTGCAGAGGTCACACAACGCAGCAGTGAGGATCGCTCAAGACCTTTGGTGAAGTTATTCCAGGCTAGAGATAATACTAAGTCTTACTCTTCAAGCCGCGGAGGTGCCGGCAGTTGGGGTAGTAGCAGAGGCGGAAACAGTAGTGCTCCCCGAGGTGGTTACGGAAGTGGGGGTGCTAGCGACAGCGAAGGTGGCCGAGGCGGTCGAGGTGGTCGAGGTGGATCTACCCGTGGAAGAGGAAATGATAGAGGTAGAGGGGGACGTGGCGGACGAGGTGGCTTCAATAAGGAAGGTGGAGCATCCCCTGCTCTAGCTTCGGCTACACCAGCAGGAGGTGATTCTTGATCAACGATAATATCCGACATCATACATCACCAGTTTTCATTATTTTCTCGCACCAAAAAGTCACATTTCTCGTACAGTACATCTTCTAAACGGTCACTTATTGTGAACAGAAGATATCTATCTTGACAGAGGCTCAGCCATATTAGTATTTCGGCTTTTTTTCGTCCTCATAAAAATATTCTAAGGTACCGGAGTGGAGTTACAAACATTTGCTCATACTTCACGGTTCCTACCTTTATTTGTGTGCAGGCGATGATGGCTACTAGCTCGTTCTATTTCCTTCGCATCTGTATTCTTGATACGGGTAGCTTTGAGTCGCATCATATCATGGATCTCATTATGGAATGAGATATTCGAAACGAATCTATGAATAGCGCTGCACATGTATTCTAGTCTTTGTCTCAAATTTCCCTAGGGGAAAACATGAGAATTGAAAGGTTGGTGGTTGCAAGGTGTCAGAAAGGGTTTGGTTGTCAAATGATTGCAGACGCATAGAAAACATCAATTAAATTTTTAGTAAATGTGTTTGTGATTTCTCATTGTGATATTTCAAGTTTATGGTATCGTACAATAACGTGTATATACATTTTACATGGTGGAGTTACCTAGTATACAGATCTTCTAACGTGATTTACTCGAGAGTTGGAATGATTCAAACTCATAAAGACAACGCAATATCAAAGCGGATTTCTAGCAAATAGGATAACCCCCTTGTCTAATTCTCTAGAGGTTTAATGCCTTTGTGGATGGCTGCAATTCCACCTGTCAAATCCTCCCAGCCCTTTCCAGGAACCACAAATCCGGCTTCCTTAATCATGTCCCTGAATTCCTCCTGTTTAGGGAACTTCTCAATACTCTCTACCAAGTACTGATAGCTATCTCTATCTCCCGCCACCAATTGACCAATCAATGGTATCGCTGAGAAACTCCATTGTTTATAAATGGCATTAAACAACGGATTGGTCACATCCGAGAATTCTAAACAAGCGAACAGTCCACCGGGTTTCAAAACACGGTGCGCTTCCCGCAACGCCGCAGCCTTATTTGTGAAATTGCGGATTCCAAAGGCGACGGTGTAGAGATCGAGGGAATTGGAGGGCACCATGGGCAGAGACTCGGCGTTTGCGAGGAGGAAATTGAGACGCGGGGAATGGGCATAGGAGGTTTGCAGCGAGCGTTTGCGCCCTTCGGCTAGCATCTCAGGGTTGATGTCGGATATGGTTATGCTGGAGGAGGGGGATTTGTTGATGTTGGTTGCGTGGTCGAGGAGGCGGAAGGCGATGTCGCCGGTGCCGCCGGCTATGTCGAGCATTTTCCAGCCTTGGGGGGAGGAGGAGGTGGAGGTAGAGGAGGTAGGGGGGGTGAAACCGGGGTTTATGGAGCGCACGAAGTGGTCTCTAGGGTCGGGGTTAGTAGATGTTATATGTGGATGTATGTGGAAGATTGTCTGGGTTGAATAAGAGAATGCAAGAAAGACTAAACATACTTCCATAATCTATGAATCCCCAATGACATAAAGTCATTCATGGTATCGTACGAGGCTGCCACATTACTGAAGACTCCCGCAACTATTCAGCACGATGTACGAATTAGCTTTCGTTCATGCAATCTAATCGCCCCATCATTGAATATTCAAGCCATTGAACACACCTCTAGCTTCCTTCTCCGCCTCCGGCACAGTCTGAAATCCAAAATGTGTGGTTCGTCCATTATCACTAGTCGATGCACCCGCAGACGATGTTTGTGTCGAGGATGAATCGGCCTGACGTATCGAACTCAAAGTGGAAAAGCATCTCGAAGCGAATTGAGTTCTGGCAGACCTGGTTAAAGGTCTGAGTGCTGATCTGCAAGCCATTCTGAATTGGATGACTATGATTCCGTGGTAGGTTCAAGAACTAGACGGAGTTATAAAACAAATGGGAATACAAAATGTCCCCCAAGTCTTTCCAAATCCCGATAAATTTCTCGCCTCGTCAGCCTTGCCAAGTTTTTTCTCCGGCTAGTGGTTTGGTGAAGAAGGAAGCTAGCGGAACAAGGGATGGGAGTGGATCGGTTATCGACGGCATTACCCCAGATTTCAGCCTTGGTCTCCAGTGTTTTAGCACGGTTGGAGTCCCCAGTATCTGTGTTGATCTTTCTTGTGCCGGACGCTCTTTTTGTTTTGTATTTAAGAAGGTCCCGGTTGGTATTGAAATGATGTTGAAGATTTCTTCTTGATGTTTTCGCATTAATTCTTTGAAACGGTCAATTTGCTGCTTGGGAATGTTATATTGAGGTTTAGGTGTGAGATTGTTAAATTGATCACTGAAGTCAGATAAGCAAACAATTATGAATTCACAGAGAATTGGAGGATGTCTTTTGCGGGGAAGTAAGAGGGGAAGAATCTCTACATCTTTTTCGAGAAGCAAGATTCATGGAATATGGTCGGCAAGATGTCATTCTACCGTGGGACCAAGTCAGAAACCTGGGTCTGCAGGGTGAGTTTCGATTGATTTGAAAAAGAGTATCAATTGCTAATAAGAGCCATAGAGTACGCTTCCCTGGAGCAGTGGACAGTAAATTTACTTCCTCTCTCTCTTTCGAACACCCCTCTACCTACACTGCCATCCCTACCTACCGCACCATGTCCCCCGACGGCGACATCCTCGATCCATCCGCTGTTCTCCCCTCCGACGAAGCTGCGTTAGAAATGTACCTCAACATGATAAAAGTATCCATTATGGATGTTATAATGGTTGAAGCACAGCGACAAGGTCGATTGAGCTTTTACATGCCGAGTCAGGGCGAAGAAGGTACTTGTGTGGGCTCGGCGGCGGCGTTGGAGAAGGGCGATGTGATTTTTAGTCAGTATAGAGAGGCGGGTGTGTTTATGCAGAGGGGATATACGCTGGAGGATTTTATGAGCCAGCTTTTTGCCAATAGGAAGGATAAGGGAAAGGGAAGGAATATGCCTGTGCATTATGGGAGTAAGGAGTTGAATATTGTAAGTTTTCTTCTTATATTGCCCAAAACTTGACGTAAAAAATGAGAAGGAATAGAATTCAAACAGCTAACAAAATACAGCACTCTATATCCTCTCCTCTCGCAACTCAAATCCCCCACGCCGCAGGAGCAGCATACGCATTAAAACTCCAACGTCTCCAAAATCCCTCTCTCCCTCCCCGAGTCGTAGCCTGCTATTTTGGCGAAGGAGCCGCCTCAGAAGGAGATTTCCACGGCGCCCTCAACATAGCCGCTACGCGCTCCTGCCCTGTAATCTTCATCTGCCGCAACAACGGGTACGCCATCTCGACCCCCACGCTCGAACAATACCGGGGCGACGGCATCGCCAGCCGCGGCACCGGCTACGGCATCGACACGATCCGCGTCGACGGCAACGACATCTGGGCCGTGCTGCAAGTCACCAAGAAAGCGCGCGAGCTGGCGCTCACCGATGGCGGGCGCCCCGTCCTCATCGAAGCAATGTCCTATCGCATTTCCCACCACAGCACCTCGGATGATTCCTTTGCGTACCGCGCGCGCGTCGAAGTCGAAGATTGGAAACGCAGAGATAATCCGATTACGCGGCTGCGGAAATACTTGGAAAAGAGAAATGTGTGGGATGAAGCGAAGGAGATTGAAGCGCGGACGAATATTAAAAAGGAGGTTTTGAAGAAACTGAGCGAGGCGGAGAAGGAAAAGAAACCGCCGATTAAAAGTATGTTTGAGGATGTGTATAAAGAGATGACGCCAGAGCTGAAGAGTCAGATGGAGGAGTTGAGGACGGTGATGGAGGAATACCCGGAGGAGTATGATGTGGGTGAGTTTGAAGGAGGTGTGGGTAGTTTGAAGTGAGGGGATGGGAGATTGTGAGAGGGGGGAAAGGGAATGCATAGATGAGATTATGAGATTATGATTGTAGAATTGGGAGTACATTAGCATTAGCACTAGCACGCATTAGCGAGAGATACAATAGATACCTACCTAGGTACTTGAGGCATAGAATTTTGCATTTACAGATACTCCTCATCGTGCTCACTTACTTCAACATCACCATCGTTGCTCGTATACCGTTATGCAAAATTTGAGTATATTAATCTACTCTAATGACGCTTATAAATTCTATCTACATAAATTTGTAAGACACTTTATCCGCTCATGTATTCATAAACAAAACAACATTCACCGAGAAGCTATCCAAACTCCATCATCCACCCACACAATCGCTGAAAACGCCTTTTGTCATCACCTAATGACCAAACGACACCATCAAGTACGCCTGCTTTTATACCCTCCAAAGAAAAAGATCTACCAAAAATATCTCTACTTCCTCGCCACCCCCGTAACAAGCAAGGCACCACTCCCAACCTGTACCTTCCACCCTTCTTTAATCAACATTCTCGCTACTGCAGGTCCCAACTTCCCTTTCCCACCTTCACTATGATTTCCCACGCCCGTTACGATTTTAAACCCTTCTTGTGGTCCCGCTCGTATGTATCCACTGCCGAGTCTTCTCCGTTCCTCCGAGACCCACCACATGGTTACTTTCTCTCTTGCAATTCTCACTGCGTCTCGGACTCCAACTCCGTGTAAATCTATACCACCGTTCCAGCATTGACTCATGACTAATTCGTCTGCGGCTGCACTTTCGGCATCTTTAACACGAACGTTGGCATTTCGTCCTTGTTGGGAGTAATAGGCTGCTGCGCCGCCCATTAGAGGATTAGATCTGGATTTCTTGTATGCAGCAGATGCTTTTTGGAAAGCAGTGTTGCGCGCATTGATGTGAGGGCTTGCGTCTGTGGAGGGAGAGAGTGGTGTACCAGGATTAGACGAGGTGGAATGGGTGGGATAGATGGCATTTAAAGAGTATTGTTTTGAAGCGGATAAAACCGTGGGTGAGGGGTCAATAACAAGGGGCGTATGTCGAATTTCGATTTGAAGGTTTGGTTTACCAGATTTGGAGACGGGAGTCGATATGAGTGCGTTTGCCAACTCACGTGCATTGGCTGTATATGGATATGTCATTTGAGTGAGAATGAGTATATGGGAGGGCTTAACTGAAGGAAAAGCTTCCCCGAGTTCCATTGCTTGAACTTCGATTATTGGGTCTTCCTCTTCCATATCGGTGGCAGGGTAGTTTTCGATAATTGATAAGATTGTCGCTTTGACAGATGCTCCATTATTGTGGTACAATGAAGTGATTTGTTGCATCGGTAAGCCGGTTCTGGTAGATAGAAATTCGACATCTTTTCTACCCGTCTCCCATTTACTCGCTTCAGCAGTAAGGGGCGAATCGTCTGCAGTAGAATTGCTTTCAGAGGCTTCAGTCTTTCGACCTTTTCTCTTTCCTTTTTGTTTGCGGGTTTTAGGTGACGCGGAACTTTCAGAGAAAGCTTCAATACCACGTCTCCTCGATCCTGTTTCCTCGAGGAAGGATAGATTGAGCAAATCCTCGATTGCCAAATTAACATTTCCTTTGGACTTCTTTAGGGAATATTTGACATCAAAAGGCTTCAGGGTCTTGAAAGTTGCAAGCAAAAAATTCTCTTGACTATCCACATCCATTCCCTCAAGAGAATCCGTAAAGTCAGTTCCCTTATAAGTATCTTCACTGCCAGGAAAGTCCAATCCTTCTAAAAGATCTAGTGAAGATGTTCTCTGACTTAATGTGTCGTCTGTAGAACTACTCCATCCAGGTACACTTTTACTACTTGTGCTCGCATCATCGTTTCTGCTATTGCCATTCTGCGAATTCTGCTCTGCTGAAGTTTCCCCTCTATTTGTGTATGGTCCGCCCCAAGTTCCACTAGGATCGAAGCCAGTAGCTTCTTCAAACTCTGCATCTTTCCTTATCATGTCCAAAACCATGCGCGCAGTCTCGATTTGCTCTTTATTGGATAGATCGTAATCTGCAATGATTGCACGAAACGTACTGTTATCGAGTGGGGGACAATATTCTGACTGTGTAATTCGTCAACAACGTATACAACAACGTATATAGCAAAAGAAATAGAAAACTCAAAATGAAATGAGATAGTGAATGAATTCAAGAATTACATACCTCCATTTGAGCCAGAAGCTCTTGAGTATTCACCATAATTGCGGCAATGCAAAGCAACTTTCGACGTTGATTCTTCTCTCCCAATTGCGCACGCAGACACAACACAATTCACTCTTTTTCTATCAATAAACTCTTTCTTTTTTCTTTCACTCAAACCCAAATTCAAGGAGATTCTGTTGGAAATAAATTATTATAAATAGATGTGAGAGAAGCAAAATAATAAATATGTAACATGATTCTATAGGATATTGACATTTTCTGTGGTATTTCTCAAGTTCAAGGAGGTAGGTATCATTAAAGTTTTCGATCAACTCACTAAGAGAAAGAATGAAGTGGTGGGATTTCGAACGATGATGAAGTCATGATACTGAGGCCGATAACGCGCATTTGGCATAAACCCTAAAAATAGATTTCTGCCTAAGCTAAAATCTAATTTAGAATTTAGTAGTGTGCATTTAAGAATAAGAATATTTTAATTCAGTACACAACCCTAAAAGAATTGATAAAATGAAAAGGAAAAAGATATTATTATTAATTAGAACTCAAGGAATCGATTGATATAATTACTTTTAAATTATCTCAAAAAATGAAATTTATATTCAATATAAAAATATTCCTAATAAAATTAAAAAAAAACTAATTTTGATATTCAGTCTTTTGTTTTTTAAATATTATTAAATTGAATATAAATTTTATTTTTTGAGATAATTTAAAAGTAATTATATTAATCAATTCCTTGAGTTTTAATTAATAATAATATTTCTTTTCTTTTTATTTTATTAATTCTTTTAGAATTGTATATTGAATTAAAATATTCTATTTAATATTAATAATATTATTCAAGGTTTGATTAGTTATTAAGCTTAATAATTAAGGTATTAAGATAAAACAGATCTTTAAATATAATAAAAATAGTTAGAATTGAATATAAATTTTAATTTTTGAGATAATTCAAAAAGAAATATATTGATTGATTCCTTTAATTCTAATTAATAATTAAACCTCTTTCTTTTTTCTTTTATTAATTTCTTTAAAATTATATACTAAATTGAATTCTCTTATTTAATATTATAAAATCTAATTAAAACTATATTAATTATACAAATTAAATAAAATAAGCTGAAATAAACTTAATAAGGAATTCTTATTAAACTTGAGATAAGGAATTCTTATTAAACTTATTTGCTTATTTCGCTTATTCTAAAGTAGTTTATATATTATAAAGAAAACTATTTGAAGATAGATTTTAAATATTAGTATATTTTCTATAGAATATTTCGAAATGAATTCTAAAAACAAATTAATAAAGCTAACTTTAAGGGCTATTTAATGATATAATTTGTTTTATAAAAAGTCTTCAATAAGATTGAATTTTATCTTTCTTTATTAGATTTCTATAAATATATTATACAGATTCTAAAATTTCTTTTTTTATTAGACAGAAATCTATTTTTGGGTTTTATGCCAAATGCGCGTTATCGGCCTCAGTACATAAGCCGAGAAATCAAAGGGCACCACATATCGAAGCTAATAGGCTGGCTTGGCTGGCTATCTTATCAGCGAGGAGACGCTATATAGGGGTGAAATACTCGTATTAATAAGCAAGATTGACTGAGGGACCGCATGAATTCATGAAACATCGAGACTTTGATGTCGATGATAACCTTGGAGATCTCTCTCGAATACTCTCCAACGTGGTCAACATAACAGTCTACCGCATGATAGACGACGAGAGTATCTCCATGTATCTTCTGGCATGAACCAAATCAGAGTGTTCTCATCAATTCCATGAGTCCGTGCATTCACCATCATAGCGAGCATAGAAATGACGACCATCGCAACTAGCTCATTCAGGAGGGGCACCTTCTAACAATGGATCGACCCAGATTGATACAGTGACAACACTATATGTGAAATAGCAAACTTCGGATCTATTGGATTCTTCAAAGCTTTACTCCTCAAACTCAATCCACGCTTGCTGGCTTTGACTGTGCTTCTAGCCCTTATATCCGACATCACTTTCACCAGCAATCAGAATGTATCTGCACCAAGAGACAAGTTGTCTAGATTGACACGATTTATATTTTTGTCATTGATGCTTAAATACTTGTTCTTTTTCAATCCACAATGGTGTATGTTTACCCCTTGGACCGGCAATTCGTGACGGGCGAGACGGTTGCATTCGATAGCTGGTAGTGACCATCTTGTTTGAGATTGATGCGTATACGATGTGGAAGATATAGAATAGAGCCCATCATGATCAGATGTTGGTCCGGATAGTTCACCGCGCAAGAGACACACGCCGTACCTCTCTAGTATGATAGATATATCTACTACATCCAAGAAAAGTCTTAAAACATCGCTACAGGTGCTTTCCTCAAGTCGAAGCATCAAGACATCCCTTCATCAAATGAAATGTCGCGCAAAGCTGCTGAGTACTTCAATTTGATTTGTTTAATCATTTCTTTCTCTTACATTCTTCAAAAATTCGAGCTTTCTTATTCAAGTCTTGAGAAAGACCATTATCAACGTGTTCGATCGATACAAGTCGTTGACTCTTGGCTCCGCGGGCTACACGATCGACACCTGCGCAGCTTACACCCCACAGACATAAGATCTCTGTGCAGATGTTCCTTTGGAAGATCCTGATAACCACTAGGTATTCACATGAATCAATTTGATATTCCTTACAGTGCGAATCTCTCACTAGTCTGCACGCAAACCGAGACTTTAGATTACATCAAGTATGTACATCAACTCCACTTTGACCCTTGCCGTCGCCGATATATTCTGATTCCCGTTAAAACCTGACAGTCGATGCATTCTACCCCATCTGGTGGCCAACTATTTATACTAAGAATTCAAGCTGTTACCTATGGTGGGAACCCTAGCAACATCCCCCCTCACCGTTATTCTTTGCGCCATCGTTCTTCTCCAGTAATATACTCACTCGAGAATTATAGGCATCTTCACTTATGCTGCGCCATATCATTCAAAAAAGCTCAGAGACTATATAATAATTTACTGTTCTCGATCTCTGATATGGAGTCAAATACACGCTTTGCAAATTTTGACGGCGAGCTCTCAAAGGCCAGGAGTACTGAGTCAAAACGATCGCAGGCGTTCGCGAGATATCATATCTCAAACACATTAGACGAATATAGATCAACGATCTTTAGGCGAATAGACACTCTCGACGTGGTTGCCTCAGTAATTTTGTTCAACAATATCATCGCGAGAACTTCCCCACCACTTTTCAAAAAGAAACTCCATTCCTTAGTATTTGGTCTCATTTTCTGGACTGAACCACCAAAGTCGACCAGCTCTGTTGTTATTGGTCATTTCAATTACTTGAATTTGATAGAGAAGGTTATGTGGTAAACTGATAAAACCTACAATCACTCATATATCGATTCAATAAAGATGCAACGAAAATTTCCGAGGCTCTATGGCAGCCGTCCAATTGACGCACCTTATCAAGGATTAGGGATTCCACTTAGTAGCACTTCCCACAACCTGGCCATGCATTCAGATGAAGTCAAAGCAGCTATCTGCGACCCTCCATGTGAGTAAGACAATCTTTTCTCTCCTAAATTTATGCTTCAATCTCAAATCCCTGTATGGGTTTTCATCTTTCCTTCTCGCAGTGCCTTTGTTTCCCCGCTATGCTTAAAAACTTGGTCCTATGAGGCTGTTACTGAATCTCTGTCACTGCAGGTATCTGCGTCGATTGTGAACAGGGCTTCTACACACGCCAAGAGCAAATGCATCCTGGCTGGTTTTATCGACGTTCACTTTCCAGCGATGAAGCCAAACAAATTGCTGCTTCATACATCAATGTCATACAACAAGATCGCAAATATTTAACAGATAGACTCGCGAAGTATGGGGATATCATTGTTAATCGATGGAAGAAGAAAAGTCAAGACAAACGTCAGGCGCTGCTACTTGAAGCCATTCCAAATTTGTGCAAGAAAGGGTGGATCATCCCACGTCATGGTTTCACCCCTGAAGGCAAGCAGATCCCGCCCATAAATAGCGATGGTCAAATGGAACTGCGCTCTCTAGAAACTCACCATCACCTCCTCCTAAATTGGTTGAATTTAGAAGTCCTCAAAACCAACCCCGCTGTTCTTTTTGCTTTGTTGCACAATCGAACGGTGTATGCCCCTCAGGACTGGGCGTCATTTGACTCACGACAGCTCAAGGACTCTTTTCTCTCTGGACACTTCGACGTTGACTTTTCAGCCAAATGTATCGTGATGTATGGTCTCAGGTACGGGGAGGTGGTGGACTGGAAAGCTGCTCCGGCACACAGAGCGGATATTCTTGGGTTCCCCAAGGCACGTCTTGTTATCGAGGCTCAAGCTCATCTGATGGGTTCACTTCGGAGGGTCGTTGACGGCATACTTCAAGGAATAGATGGAAATACACCTCTTGCAGCGGAAAAATGGAAATCTATGGTTTCGCTGGGATTTAGGCATAGTAATGTCGTGGAATTGTGGTCACCCTACACCAATCAAGCATTCTCATCGCCTCCATCGTTTTCTCCCACCAATCTGATCTCGTTGGCTCAAACACGATTAGAAGCAACCGTCGATCATCTTTGGCTATTGCAGACAGAGCCGGCATACATGAAACGATATATCGCGGCCATGTGCCATGGAGGTGCTTATGAGTCGACTAAAGATATGGGGCCTGGGTGGCTGGTTTTACGGGGGATCACTGAAGCCATCAAGTCTTGCTGGAGGTGGGGATGGGCAAAGAACGAATGTGAACTTGTCAAATCAATTCATGATCGATTTCGAGACAATATTGCACAAGGCGAAGATCTTCCATCTAAATATGATAAGGCATTGGGTGCACTAGAGTAAGTTGGTTTAAGTTTTCCAATCATCTGCATAGATTGTTGAGTACTCCAGCTTGACATGGAATCTTACTAAATTACTATTTAGACTCTTGGTAGTGAATGATGTCAACCGCCGTGGCGATCTTCTTGGAAAAACGATTTCACAGAGACCGGGATTTTCTCACATTTATACGACAACAAGAAAATCCCAAGAACATGGGCCTGATATCCTCGAAGTGAACCGGAAGAACGGCTTGCTTTCTGATCCAAAATATGCATTTGAGAACGAGCTCTTAGATTATTGTTTAGTCCAATTGCAAATCGAACCGGATATTCAACAAACGCCAAACAAATTGCCAAAAGAAGTGCCCATAGATCATGCACTATTATTCTCTATTTTAGAGAATCACCTGACTAAGAGTAATATCAAAGAAAAGTCTCGCCTAGACGAGGTCTTATCAAATCTACTCTCAGATCTAGCAGCTTCTCATGAAATGTTGGCTGCCATTCGTTTACATCGACCCCTAAGTAGACCTAGAACCTTGGATGAGGTGTTTCAGTCAGAAAAACGAAAAACTTGGAAGGCTTTTAATGTCAGAAGTCACTTTACCAACAACGACGCTTGTACCAAGCTAGGAAAAGCATTTTTCAAGAATTTCCACGAGGTTGAAGCCCCCACTGGTCGGAAGGACATGGCTTGGTTGAATCACTCTCAAAACACCAGGAAAGCACTGGAGGCATTCTGGCAGGGCATCAGGAAGGACAGTTTGATGGTTTCGAAGCAGAATGGTTTCACCGAAGACGAGGTAGCTGAAGAGCTTGGGTGTATCAGTGCCACCACTACTCAAGAATACCTAAGTGCTGTCCAAGCTGAGGAACGGCAGCTACTAGCTCAAATCGAACAGAACCAGAACACCAAAATCAATCAAAAGAGCCAGAAATCTGCCAAAACACCCACACAAACAACTTGGGGCACGGAAGATTTAACTTCAACCCTTCCAACCCAGATTAAAGCAAAAGACAAGACTCGCCCCTCTATCAGTACCCAACCCTCCCCAACTAATCCCCAGGAACTCGCCAACTACCTAGCAAATACAACCATCTCTCCCTCCCCACCCCCCAAAATCCTCGTCACAAAACGTGCTTACGAAATTCTCTCCCATATGTATCCCTGCACCGCCGAAGACGCATCCACAAAGAGTATCGAATGGGATCTTTTCGTACATAGTATGTCTGACATGGGATTTTGTGCGCGGAATAAAGGAGGTAGTGCGGTGGGGTTTGAGAGGGAGTTTGCGGAGTTGGGAGAAGGAGAGGTAGGGGAGGATGAGGATGGAGAGGGGAAAGGGGAAAGAGTATTCGTAAATCGTAGCGGGAAAATTATTTTCCATCGACCGCATCCGGTGGCGAAGATTGATCCGGTTATGTTGAGGTGTGTGGGGAGGAGAATGGCGAGAAGGTTTGGATGGGGGAGGGGGGTTTTTGGATTACGTGGGGTGGATGAAGATGGAGATGAAGATGGAGAGGTGAAGGATTGAGTTGAGTTGTGTTTTGGGAAGGAAGGGAGATGCGGAGATGAGAAGTAATCAGAAGAGAATACATCCCTGACTGTAAATACTGATTTGGGAGAATAGTAATTGGTATGATAGTAGATGTATGGACTTATTAGTCAAGGGAAGGTTTCTTGAGTATTCAATTTATAGAATATAAATAGATAGATAGATAACTAGTAGATAGATATATAAATAAATTCAAAGATTTTATTTTATTGCAACTTATCTCATGTTATCTCATCCTATCTTATTTTATTTTACTCTATTCTCATAAGAAACTAATTAATCATCTCCTTGTGTAATATATCACACTAGGTATACTAGAATTATTCATAGGACTATCTACCTAATAGAATATAATCTCAATTTCTTTTAGTAAAGTATATATATAAGATTATATATTGAAGATATTTAATTTATTTTTATAGATATATAGTATAGGTGGCTTGTAATTCTCATTCTCATTTTTTATTTTCTTATTTTCTTATTTTCTTATTTTCTTATTTTCTTATTTTCTTATTTTCTTATTTTCTTATTTTCTTATTTTCTTATTTTCTTATTTTCTTATTTTCTTATTTTCTTATTTTCTTATTTTTTTATTTTCTTATTTTCTCATTTTTTATTTTTTTATTTTTTATTTTTTATTTTTTATTTTTTATTTTTTTATTTTTTTATTTTTTTATTTTTTATTTTTTTATTTTTTTATTTTTTTATTTTTTCATTTTTTTTATTTTTTCGTTTTTTCATTTTTTCATTTTTTCGTTTTTTCATTTTTTCATTTTTTCATTTTTTCATTTTTTCATTTTTTCATTTTCTTATTTTATTTGTTCATTTTTTTATTTTTTTCAATTTTTTAATTTATTTCTTTTTTTCTTTTATTCTTTTATTCTTTTATTCTTTTATTCTTTTATTCTTTTATTCTTTTATTCTTTTATTCTTTTATTCTTTTATTCTTTTATTCTTTTATTCTTTTATTCTTTTATTCTTTTATTCTTTTATTCTTTTATTCTTTTATTCTTTTATTCTTTTATTCTTTTATTCTTTTATTCTTTTATTCTTTTATTCTTTTACTTGTCGACTATTTATAATATAGCTAACCATTCATAGGTGGTTGGTAGCACCAACTCTGACCTGCAGTAACCCTAATACAGTGAAATTCTTTTTATAAATCAATAGTAAATTAACTATATAATATATAATTTTAAATTTTAATACAGATTATAGCTTTAATTAATCTTTTAATTAAATATTGAATTTCTAATAATATATAATTGATTAAAGAATTATTATTATAGTTCTTAATAATTTATAATATTATAAAATATAATATTTTTCTGCCAAGTTCGGTTTGTAATTGGAAATGTTATTTCTCCAATCCTAAAGTATCAAATATGTTTAAATAAAATCTAACTTTACATCTATACCTTCATTATTATTATTAAAATAATCATTTTTTAATAATTATATTGAGACTATACTAATAAACAATTTTATCTTTTCTTTTTTTGAATTAAATATATAATTGATTTATTATCAATTTATAAAATAATTTCATCATATTAGGATTGCTGTAGATCAGAATTGATACTACCGACTACTTTAGAGTAATCGATAGAATTTTTCTAATAGCCGGCAAGTATTCTTTCTTTTTTTTTTTTTTCTTTTTTTTTTCTTTTTTTCTTCTGTTTTTCTATTTTTCTATTCTTTTATTTTTCTATTCTTCTACTTTTTTACTCTTCTATATTCATCTACTTATAATTAACCCATCTTCCTCCTCCTCCTCCTCCTCCTCCTCCTTCTTTTTCTCATCCTCCTCCTCCTCATCTCAAAACTTAACACCAACACCAATACTATCTTTAAACCCTGACCCTGGAAAGTTTCTCTCCTTTTGTTTTTCTAAATAGGTATATATACATATAGGTAGATATAAGTAGATAGGTATATGTAGATATATACATATATATATATATATACATACCTAGATATAAGTAGATATACTCTTACACTCTTATATTTTAAAAGAAGATTGAAATGGGAATGGAAATAGATATTTAGTACCTATAATACTTCCTTTGACTTGTATACATATATATACTTAATATCATACATACATACAAACACTCATATATATAAACATACAAACACCCATACACCTATTCATATATAGAATACATCTCATAACACCACAACACCACATCACCACATCACCACATCAAAAACAATAGATAAACATATACCATTTCATTACTATGATTTCCGATTACTGTGATGGGATTATTACGCTGTGTACCTATCCGCCTAACCACCTACCACCTACCCATCCATCCATCATTTCATACTTCCATTCATCCATTCGTCTTCCCTTCCATACATGTATGTATACCAGTAATAGTCCAATCAGACAAACTCATTACCATTCCTCCCTCCCACAATCTCTTCACTGAATCCCTGAATACTTCTTCGAATTCTTATACGCCATATATACATACACATATATATCATCCATCCATCCATCCATCTACCTTGCAATATCTTTCTCTCAAGTATTTTTACAAATTTATCTTCTCTGCCACATCTCTCCAACTCCAACTCCAACTCCGACTCCAACTCCAACCCCAGCTGTGAGTCTATCATGTGTTCCACGATGCATAAAGCATCCACCTCCATTATGCCCTCCATTGACCGTAAATCTAATACTCATCATCACTCTCATCATCCGGCAAAAGAGCTCTATATCTCCTCTCCGCCAAATCTTCCTCCAACCCCCCTTCATCCCCACTATCTCTATACCCCTCTCCACCAGCCAAACTAAGCGCCACGGGCAAGAAAACCAACGCATGTAATGCCGCAAAAATGACCAACGCAAGCCAAATTCTAAAGTAATAAATTTCAAAGATTTTACTCCTCGTAAACGCCAACACCGTGACGCCTACTAGCTTCGTAATTGTGATACCGCTGAAGACTGAGCCGCCTACGTTTACAAGAGCGGTCCAGGCGCGCGCATCCTTATTGCGGAACTTATTTTTTGCTTTTTCCATGACGGAGCGCGAGGGGAACATGAATGCGCGGGCGATGTGGGCACAGAATTCCACGCCGATGCCGACGCAGATAATGAGGTTGACCAGACTGACTGCGTTGAGAGAGACGTTGAAGACAGCCATTGTGCCGATGATATCGGTTACTATCATTATGACTGTTACTGTGACTACAGCGCCTGTTTTGAGAGATCCGAGAAGAATCGAAGAGATGAATAGAATGAGTACCAAAGCGGAACAGAGGAGAGTTGCTGTGAGACTGATGATTGTGGTGTATTGATCGAAGAATATGTAGTAGACACTGTAGGGGAAGACTTCTAGACCAGACTTTTCACTCATACCATCTGCGATACGACGAGCAGAGGCATAGGCGGCAATGAAATCTTCTTGGCTGTGGAGTGGTGTGTGACTCGTGCGGAAGTGACTTGCTGGAATAGTATCTCTTTCTGCATCAATAACCAGAGCATTTCCATAGGCAGCTTGACCACCAAGAGGACAGTCGTCATCTGTGGGAGACGCAATCCATTTTTCTAGGTAATGAATAAATTCTTGACCTTCGGGCATACCATGTAAAGTGATATTCCATGCTGGATCACGATGTTCAAAGCAAGCTGAACGACCTTCAACACAACACGAGTCTAACGAAGGATCGAGCCAACGGAAATAATCATCGATCCAGCTAGCAGGAGTAGCTGCGATGTAGGAAACTTCTGGCCTCTTTCTTTCAGACTCCAAAATATTGGTGAGGGATTCTGTTTCGCATGTTGTGAAGCGAGAGCATAGCTGTTGTTGATGGCTACGTTCGGTAACATTTAACTCTCGAGTAACGAAATATACTGGTGGTCCCGAATCAAAGTAATCGTACAAGTCATTGAAGTATGGAATGAGATATGATCCGTCTGGAATTGCCACACGTTGATCCAAACCTAAAGCGACTTCAGGCATCAATGCAACAGCAGCGGCGAATATTCCAAGAAAGATAACGACGACAGCGGTCTTTACTTTGCGACCAAGTAAAGTTGGAGCATAAGTCTTGCGGATAAACTTTTGAAGGAAACCCTCATCAGAACCTTCGTAAAATCTCGAGTAAGAATTGCCATTGCCATTTCCAAGGTGAACACCGGCGGTTTTGATCTGAATGCAAGGAATACAATCCACGCGACGATCTTCAACACGTCGTTGATTGAGACTGAGAATAGAAACAAACATGGTGATTTGTAGAACAGCGTTAATGAACACTGCGCCAGCAGCATAAATTGCAAAGTTTCGAACTGCCGGCATACCAACAAAAGCACCAAGGGCAAACGCAATAGTCTCAGTAGATGCTGATAGAAGAATTGATGGACCCATTCTTCCAAGTGCTTTTGCAATACGGTGCTCAACCATTTCATCAGGATGGCTAGTATTGACTCTTTCAAATTCGTGTACAATCAAAAAGATGTTATCAACACCAACTGCAAGAACGATGAATGGGATAACCTCAGCGATGATAAGCGTAACCTTAACGCCTGCAAAGGAGAAAAGACCAATTGAGGCTGAGATAGACATCAGCACAATCAGAATCCCCACTACTCCTAGTGAAAATTTAGATTGGACCAAAGAGCTAGCTGGGTTGTGCACCAATGTTTGGAATGAGATGGTTGTCGAGCCAAGAGCTAAAGATGCGTAGAAGAACATGATGATGTAACTAATGACGACAATCTTTGCATCAGTGTTGGTAGACTTATTAAGTTCTTGCTCAAGACTGATCTCAGTTGAGAAAGAAAGTCTTAAACCACGTTCGCTTGCTTGAACCTGCAAACGTAACAACTCATCCCGGAGGGAGGCCT